TAGAAGGGATTGCTCCAAAATGAGGTTCTCATTAAAAAATTATGAAGTGTATTTTAGATGCTTAAATGGCTTTTCGATTCGTATTTCTCCCCAACTTGTACATCAGAATTCAAATGTTATGGCATTACTTGAACCAAAAGGTTGTGTTCCACTAGATTGTGTGCTACTTTCATCAAAACTGTCTTATATCTGCTTGCAGTGCGGTAAAGAGGCTACCGCTGAGGTATTTCTTAATTAACATTTTCGCATTAACACGTGAAAATGTTATGAATTATTGCTATGAGTGAGCTTTGATTCTTGATAATTAAATTATTCTTCCCAAACATTCATCGCAATGCTTGAACGGTAGAACCATGCGTCAGAGAACTGTTCATCAATTATGCTGTGGAAGTTGTGTTCTAACTGTAATTTATTCATCTATTAGTTGAGATATGGGTGGAACGGTTGGATGGATTAATAATGAAAGATGTGGTGTTTTTTTTATCTGCTCTGCGTTAAATAAATAATAAGTTGAAAAATAGTAAATGAATTCAGAGAATTTGAATTCAACTCTTATGTTTCAAAATATAAACTATTGTACATTTCTACAAAGTTTCCTTGATATACAGCATATTTTTCCAAATTAGGATGAATTACTAGACTTCATAATGTTAATTTGTTCGTTAGATTGTAATAGCTCATGTTATTCGTTACATTGACTCTGACAGATCTTTTCAGTCGTCTTAAATTTCCTAATGCTTCTGTCATTGCTTTTAGAATCTCATATATGGAATAACCAATAAGAGTTGGTGTTACGGCTGCCATAGTAAATGTGAATTTGAAATTAGAACTATCCGATTTGTTGGTGATTTTAATTCGATTGTGAAGGAAGACAACTCTGTACAAAAAAGCAAAGTGAGTCGATCATTTTCATTTTTTTTAAAACTATCTTATATTCCCAATCATATTAATTGAACTGATTCCTTGAAAAATTGTTTCGAGTTGCAATATCGGCATAATAGGAAAAATACTTAGTATGTCTCTGTAGAACAGAACAAAATTAAGTATTCAACTTAATAAACAGTGAAAGTGATTAACCTATATGACGGTGCGAAAATCATGAATTCTGTGCCAGTTACAAATGATGGGAATATAATATGTATAACATGTGACGTGCAAATCACAGAATGATATAACAGTGATACTTGAAATTATTCTCTGAAATGAAAGCAAGTATAAGGTTCATTTTCAAGCGTAGTCAGACGTTTTGTTGAAAATCTATCTTTGTGGAAAATGTATCACGATGATACAGTCGTAGTCATTATCAATGAAGTCTTGAATTTGCGGTAGAACTGCAGTTCTCTCAGTAGCTTAATTGTTCCTCTATTCATTTATGATGTGTTTATTAGATTGTTCATTTTTGTTTTTACTTATATTTTTTCCAGCAAAAGAAGAAAATAGAACGGTCGATGATGCTAATCGAAGGTCAACCACTGCCTGAAAATGGGACATGCAGACATTACAAAAAAAGTTACAGATGGTTCAGGTTTCCATTTGTCATTTATTGAACGGTTATTTTTCTTGAAGCTATTTCAAAATTTTGGCTAAAAATTCGAATTTTGACCATTGTATTTTATAGATTTCCCTGTTGTGGAAAACTCTACCCTTGTGACCTGTGTCATAACGATGCTGAAAAGGAACATGAAATGAAGTTGGCTAATCGAATGGTCTGTGGTTTCTGCAGCAAAGAACAGGTGGTATTTTAAACTAATCAATTTATTATAGCTTACTGGTTCTTTATAAAATATTCTTATAAAAACGAGTGGCAATATTGTGTAATTCTTGAAAAATGAGGAATTTCTCTCTTTGCTATTCCACTTAGTTTTTTATTGTTCGTCACACTTTTGCAGATGAGCTTTGATACCACTAGTCATTAAATTCCTATGTTGTTAAAAAATTACTTGGAAAAGTCTTAATTTTTCTTACAAAAATTTAAAAATTATTTTCGAAAATGTAATTTTTTAAATGTTCATAAAATTTCATATATTGTAACATTCAGCCATTTCAAAAAGCCAAACCGTGTATAAATTGCAAGGAGAATGTTACTCGTATAAAATCACAGTTCTGGGAAGGCGGAAAAGGATGTCGAGATCGTGTCGTGATGAGCAGGTATAGGTTAAGTTTCAGAAATATAAACACTTGTTCAATTTATCATGGAAATTGAATTCGAAAATGATTGTTGTTTGTTTAATTACAGTCAGAAGTAGTTAAAATTTAAAATTATCTCAACTTGCTTCAAAAATCTGAATTTTCTGTCAACTACTGTAATTAAATAAACAAAATAAACAGACGAGAATATGCAAACTGTTTGACGAAAACTGTTTCATAAGACTGAATCTAATGTTTTTATAGGAAGGACAGAAGAAAATATGCAAACTCTTTGGCGAAGACTGTTTCTGAAAAGCATACTGCACAATTGAAATTTAAGGATGATAGTAAAAAGAAGTGATATTTCAGTACTTGTTGTATTTATTTGTCACGATAATTCTAATAATTGTTCAGAAAGCTTTCAAAAAATGTTTTAGCAGCTGATTTGTATTTACAAGTTGTTATCTAAAACATTTTGCTGTTTTACTTCTGTTTTACTGTATTTACGTATTATGACATACTGGTTATCATTCACTGCGTTTCATATAGTGTGAATTACTTTTTTTTTTGTGTAGAAGAAAAAGGGAAAAAAGATATTCCAATAAAGAGTAGAACATTTTATTCACAGTGTTAGGTAATATATCATACAAGCACTAGGAACCATTTTTAGTTGCCAATTTATTTTGTTGTTTAGCTTATCTTTTTGTATTTTTTTGTGATTTAATATCTATCCATTTCCTCTACTGGTTTGTGTAAGTGTTCTGATCTATGAAATGTCTTATTTTTCTTCTCGATGATCATGAATAATCTTTACAGAACACTCTGTTTTTTATGGAAAAATAAAAATATTGGTTTTATAACCGCTTAAATGATTTTTGATAATCGCTTTTTCTTGGAACATCGAATTATGTAGTCCTTAATGCAATTTATAACACTATCCGGGTTCGAAATATATTGTTTCTTGGGAAAGTGATCTTTCCCAAATTTGACATTCAATTCGGCTTTCTGAATCTAAAGCTCACATTCTTATTACTAAATTTTATGAATGGCAGTATTTTAGGCCCTTGTAATGTCCGATACTGGAAGTGATTTGGCTGAAGTGAACACCACGTATCATTACCGCTTTTGTAAATATTTGACACCGATACGTACGGGTGTTGGTTTGTTAACAATTTTAGGTAAAGATTTAAACAAAGTAGAAGAAATATTCTTTGCTGTTATTGCTAGGTAAGTAACGATGAATCATTATTCGTTTGTGTTTCTTAAAAGTTCTTTTAAACAAAGTTCTTTTTGTTTTCTTTAAATTCTTTTTGTTTTCTAACTATAGTTCTAAAATCGGGCCGAAGACAGGATATTTTCTTGTGCTTAACTCTTTGTATTCTAGCGTTTGTCACATCAGTTTTTAAAGTAATATCCAAAAAGATATCTTTGATTGCAATTGAGTTATACTTTAAAAAATTTTTATGCAATATTTAAATTTGGTTTTTGGTTCAGAATTTTTAGCTTGACGATTAATCTTTTTTGTTTATTATATTCTGACTATTTGTTGTTAAAGTCTTGAACATTTTAGACAAAATTATTTTATTTTAAAATTTTCCTACGTGATGCGACAGCTCTTGACAAAAGTAAACATCGCTTAAATTGGGATAAATAAACAAAGTATGCACAATAAATGCCTACTGTTTATTATTAACGTAACTATTAACCTTATCAGCATTGCTAATATTATCTGAAATTTTTGGAACATATTCGACATTATTAGAGTGTTTCTTTTATATCAATGATAAATGATAGGGCATTCATTTGCATATCCATTATTGAAAGAAAATTGAAATTCATTTAGTGTTAATAATGCATCAGTGTTAATAATGCATCAGGTAATACAATAAATTTTGAGAATCATTTGAGTGGTTTGGTTATCATCGATTGGCTCAATTCTAACAATCAGTTCATTTCCATTTGGAATATATTTGGCTTTTGTTGGAATTCCTTTATTTTTGCTTGAAGCAGGCTATGTTATCCGACTATGTTGCGGGTTTGCTTTTTTTTCTATTTGTCTCAATTATACGCACATGTATAAATCAAAAAAAAGAGTTTTTTTCGCTTTTTTCTCCAATAATGACTTTTTAGAAAATAATTATTTGTTTCTTAGAAACAAAATAGAAATATTTTTTTATCGGCAAAGGCATTCTGTCGTGGATTTAGTCGCTTTTTTTAAAAAAAAATTTTCTGCAACGGATAGAATTTTGTATAAAATTAGTTATAGGTAAATTATAAAGAATTTTAAACTGAAATAATGCCGAACAGTATTATTAGTCAAACAATGTTAAACTTTCATTGAAGTGAAAGTTAAGTTTTTGCTTTATTTTTATTGCAGAGTTGATGGTGTTTGTTGTCGAGTATTCATACTGATTTTAAATTTTGATGGTATTAGACGTGGATTGCTGTATTTATTTTTTGCAACTTTTTGTTTCTATCCAAATTTGACAGAATTAAGCATTGTTCCAGGTAATTTATCAGATTTATTTCAAAATTAGAAAGTTGAAGTAGTAACTTCGGAAATTCATTGAAGTCAAGAAAATGGTGTTGAATGGTAGTCGTACCGGGATCAGATCTTTTTGCAATTTTTCCTTTTTTTATTTAGAAAATTGTGATTAAAATTTTTTTAAAACCACTCCGTTTTCAATTTCAATTTTTTCTGTGTACATTTTTTGGAATAGTAAAGTATCCATGTCTTGCTTCAAATGTAAGAATAGCTGATGATTTTTATCTATAGGTATCTTTTTGGCCTTAACTGCTGTGTTATATCTGCTGAAACCGATACAATTGAAGAAAATAGTATTGATACACGAGAGCGAATCAAATGTGCAATCAGTTCGAAGAACTCTGGCTTGAAATTTCAAATACCAATATCCTAACGAAATTTTTCTTTTTCATGTTACCTCCCTTTCTATTTTAAATTTTTTTATCTTAATCTGTTGAAATTTGTCATTTCACTTGATCTTTCTTTTACTTATTTCTTGTTTTTACTTATGTCACTCTTTTCTCTACCAAGTTGCTTTCCTCTATCTCTTCGATTCTGTTAAAGAAATGAGTATTTCGAAAAATTAGAATGGACAAAAACTCAAATGTTTGAGTTTTCTGATGTTTTTTGAGCAAGTGAGTAATACTCTCGAATCGACCAACGGATCAATAAAATTTTTTTTATTTTATTGTTACCATTACTTTCATTAATCTTTTGTATTCCTTTCCATGGTAATATTTTCTAACATTTTATAATAAAATTTTTCTTGAAAAGGAATAAATCTACGGTTCTTTTGACAGTGTTTTTTTCGTTTTCATTCTCATATAAAGATGCAAAAATGAAAAAGAAAATGTAATCAAAGGAATATCAGTAAATTAATTTGATAACTTTTCCCATTTACTTGATCTACTCTGTAGGTTCATCTAAACGAAATAAAAATGTACATATATAACAGAAGAAACAGGACCGCTTAAAAATAGCAAATGACCGAAAACCAACAACTCTAACAAAAACTAAGGAAACGGGCAGAGAGAAGCACTACAATTCTGAAACGACCAGAAGAAGGATTTCGAACAATTTCAGTTTTTTTCTACCACAAAGGTCTTCTATATCGATTAATAAAAAACAGTAAGGGTTTTTTCATTCATGAATTTATAAGACATGTTAAAGCGATAAGTTGGTTGTATGACAGTGTCGTGCTTTCAGCAATATTTAATAGTATTATTAGTTGGATCAGTAAGCATGATCAGTATTTTCCATTGAACTTTAATATTCATTGCTTTTACTAGACACAATAATTCATCTTAGCATGTATTCAAACATTGGCATGAATTGATATAAATTTTTTAAAACTTCGATAATATTTCATTTCAAAAATTTTCCTATCTTTCATAGCTAGTCCCTCAGAAAGATGCCTGTTCAATAAAAGCTGTAGTAATAATTCACAGAAGATATCTTTTTTATTTTCAATGAAATATTAATTCAACTGGTCAAATATTTTATATATGAATCAGTCATTTGTATAACTTCCATAAAATATCGTATATGTACGAAAAAAAAGTTACCTATGGTATAGTATGAAAAAATAATGCTTAGGAATCAAATCTGATTGTGTTTTGATAAATGATCAAATGTTTCGTTCTGCTGTTTCTGATTAACAAACCGATTCTCCTAGTTTTGATGTAATTCATCAAAAGCCCTTACTTAATTAAAATGTTCTGCTGAATTCTTTGAGGTCCCTAAAATATATTACTTTAAATTTTTTAAAAAATTTCGTAGCATGGTAACAAACATTATTTGGCAATAATCCACATTGAATTTTCAATCCACTCTTGCTAACAACATCTTGACAGTTTGCATTTCATCTCTCTTTGCCGCTAATTTGCGTTATGTTAAATCTTTTCTAATCTTTAATTTTCCTTGTATCAACTGAACTGAGTATATTAGCATTGCTGCTTTATATGGTGGACACTTACTACTATGTTTTATCTATTATAAAATTTTTCCTGAAGTTCAGAACTTATTACCCATTAAACGAATGAAAGACAGCTTCACACCGTGCGAAAAAAAAATTCTACATATCAGTAAATTTATATTCTACAAATATATAAAAACGATAAGAGTTTCTATTACTGCAAATCGGATTTATTACTATTATCACTTTTAAGTTTCTCTGTTTCCAGTTTCAAATTATATAGCTGCCAGAGTTGATCATCTTGTAAACCATCCAATACTGTGAAATTCAAATTGACGCCTAAGATCCCTTTTGCAATGCCACGATTAGATAGTTGTTTTGATAAAATCGTTGAATATTCCTGAATGAAGAAATATCATCAATATTTATTTTTGCTATCTCATCATACGACAATATTTTAAATGTCTACATTACCAACAATATTGATTGTCTGAGATATAATAATTGATAGATACTTTATCACATTATATGATATACGCACCCTCCATTCTTTTAAGAATATCACAGCTTGTTCAGATGAAACATTCTTATGTTTCCGGAATTCAGTTTTTACATACTGGTCACCGATAATGCGCATTTCTTTCGGCAAGCCATAATGTAACCTTGAAATGAAAAAATTTTTATTGACAGAAAATGAAAATTATAACGAAAAAAGACATAACCGTTGGAATATATTAAAAATAAAATAGCATGATGAAATGAACGAACCATTCAAATACTATTGTATTTGAGTTTGCAATTATCCCCCATACAGCATACACCAGACGAAATGATTTTTTGACAGGAAAACATTTTATACTCCATCTCTCTCTCTCTCTCTCTCTCACAAACACACATACACAACTAAACTAATTAACTGACATACCTTAGAATTCGTTTGTATAATATGAGAGGAAAATGTTTCACATCTGTGAGAGCCTTCGTCGACCTCAAATCCGACATCTAACATATAACAATTCTAATTATTCAACAATTTCAGAACTGAGGAAATTGAGCTGAAAAAAAAAACCTTTGATGAAAATTAGTTTTTGAGTAAGATCTCTACCAAAAACCAACTTTGTTTTTTGTAAGCGAGAATGGGCCCAGCTCTCAGTAGCATTTCTATTAACATCTGATGACTTTTCGGTAATAAGGACTGTGATTTCTCCGTTGTTCTCTGAAGAAAGTTTGAACCCTTTAATAAGTTCATATCAGTAACTGGTAAAAAATCCTTAATCGTTAAACAAATGAACTGGATTAAAATGAAAAACCTCATCACTCTATCCAACCTGGTTTAAAACATTTTCTATTTAAAAAGATCTATAACCTCTTTAATTACTACAGGCGCTTTTACGTGTATTATCAAGAAACATTATCTTTTAATAAAACAACTTTTTATTCACATCGAAAAAATCTTCATATCTTTTTCCTTCACTGAAAATTCGAAGAAAAAAATTGCTAGCGTTCAAGTTAATGAGAAAACATTAGCAAAACAAGACACACTTCACAGGAATGGAAATCTGATAAGTTTTGATACAATAGCTATTTCAAGATGCTGACCATTAATATTTTGTCAACGCTTATTGTAAGACTACATAATATTTGCTGCTACACTGCAATTTACTCTTATAACTAATCACTTCCCGATGTTCTGACCTTACGTTGTTTCATTTATTTCATGCACTGGTACGGCTAAATAGAGCAAGCATCTTGATAATATTAATGAGTCGGAAAAAATCAAAGGGAAAGAGGACAAGAACAGAATTTTAAAAAAAGTGCCAAAACCCACAAGTCTTAGAATCAAAATTGTCAAATGTCTTATAAGCATTATTCTCCAATGTCTGCTAATATTTCCGGCTTTTATTAGAGAATTTGTAATTTGCAACAAAGGTTTTGAGTGAAGGATAATTACAAAAACAAATATTTCATATTGTTGAGCAAATATTTTTCACTGTTATTTAAATATTATATATCTAAATATTAGACACACTGTATCACATCAGTTTTAGACAAAAAAGACTATGCCACGAAACTTAACAGTGATAAATTTGATAATTTTTAAACTCTAAACAGTTAAATAGATTCAGCACCCATCTTATTCTCCAAAGTGATAACAAAAATCCTGAATAGAAAATATTACTCCCGAGGTATGTCAGAAAGTAGACAAGAAAAGTTGAGAACAATCGATTTCAGAAGATACCATGAATGAAATATGTGTGAAACTCAACTAGATGAAATGACAAAAACAGGATAGATCAAATAAAACGGCAAATTGTTTTCTGAAATATAATTATTAAAAATCAAAAAAAGAATTCATCTCATAAAATTCTCCCGATTAAAATTAAATAAACTAAGAAATCACAATCCTTTTAAAAACTTCAGTATGGCGAGTACCATTTGTCTTTAGCTTTGAGCAACCTCATTTAAATGAGCAGTTTCATTTGATTTAAACTTTGGAAGTGTGGGCGGCAATGAATTAACACTGCGACGACGCTTTAGTTTTGGCATATGAGGCACTGGTGATAAGCTAGGAACTCTTTTTGCGACCTAAAGTAACAGAAATCATACAAAAAAAACAAACTGCCTGAAATCACTGCTTTTTATTCCTTACGCAGTTGTACACTTAAATTTTAGATGCTGACTAAACTTTTTGAAGATCAAAACACATGCATTATGAAACAAGTTAATGTCTTCCATTTTGTAAAACGCTAATTCCTGAAGGAACCAA